CTTAAGATAATGTACATGTTAACATCATGCTTTTTTTTTTATCTTCGATATCAATTTGTGACTTTAAATGTGTTGATTTTCATAATTGCTTTTTTTTTTTCTGACAAGGACTTAAAAATATATATTATAGGAGGTAATTACAGAATACCTGAATATTCTGTATTTAGTTTGTTCTTTAATTGTTATGTTTCATTTTAATTTTAGTTTTAAAAAAATGTTTTATTATGATCTTTTTTGACTTATTATTTATGTATTAAATTTATGATTAAATATATTTTAATTCGGTTTTTAAATTCTTTTTTATCTGGTAGCAGTTGGAGATCACTCAAATTATGTTTACTGAATTGATATTAATTTATGCCATTGAATGTTTTATGCATTTTAATGTTATGCATTTTAATTGATGTTCTCATTGTTTCTGTCAATCAGGTGTTAACAATTAATTAATTGTGTGGGAATGTGTAGATTTATAATTCGGTAAATTTGAAATTGCAAACTAAGAATTTTTACCCTCCATAAATACGTGCTCGAACACCCCAGAGTTACACGCGTGTAAACTATTGTATTCTAAATAAATATGAGCTTTTTATGCGATGTTTTGTTATTCAAAAGTAAAAAATATCATTTGCAATTAAGATATAAATTGTAAAAAAAATTCACTATCCTGTAGAGAAAAATTGCCGTAATTAATCATACGCGCTAATTTTTTTTTTTTTTTTTAATTTTTTTTTTTTAAAGCAGCTATTTGTGGTGACTATTTGGCAATGTGTATTCCATTTATATTCTTTGGAGAGGAATTAATTCTTGTAAAAGCTTGGTACCTTTTTCTAGGTTACGTACAACTTTTTTTAACTAAGTTTTATTCTTTCTAAAATTTTAAGAATGTGGACATAAATCATACTTAAAAATAAATGCAAAAACACTGAATCGATTGAAAAATCTTATTTCACGCAAAGTGATAACATCAACGAGATTTTAAAAAAATTAATAAATAAAATAAAGAATGTAGTATTCTAAATATATTTCTAATTTTTTAATTCCAGTTTCCAAACTATATTCTTTATCCAATTCATGCTCATCGAGTGGTAATAGTTTATGGTAATAGTTAGTAGTTAAACTTCACTTCTTTTCAAGATTTACGAAAAAATAAATTATTATTTAAATATTCTTTTAATTATTGGTACTTTTAATTATTTAGTATCCAATAGATTTTACTAATTAATTAAAGCTTTCACGAATTTATGCTCTTAATATTGAGCTAATTCAGCATTTCCAGCATAGAAAAGATAGATACTCATTAAGCATCTATCTCAGGAAATTAATCTATGAAAATTAAATTTTTCGTATGAGGCTGGCTTTTGCAATCCACTCAGCATGATGTATCGCACCTTAAATATACTTCGTCTCTGAAGAATATTTCAGTTTCTAAGACAAATATTTAAAATATGAAGCACATTCACTCGTATCCTTAATATTTTCTCCAGGAAGTTGTGTTTTGGGCTTTGCAGTTGCACAGAAACACTTGCATAGTAATATTTTCGTTTTCATAAATTTTTATTTGGCCATCTCATCATGAATCTCAGATTTTTATTGATTGATGTGAATTTCACGTGAAGTTACCTTCAATCTTAGAAGATTTTAAGGCTAATAATTGATTCTATTTTTAAACCAAAAATTGGAGCCAAATATTAAACCAAATATTATAACCGCCGTTGAACAGTTGACCCAATTCTGAGTTTACGAGTATCAATGCTCAAGTGCGTAGTATTTTAATTTTAATAGTAATTTGATAGCTCGCAGTAATTCGATGGGTCACATGCACAATCATAAAAATCTTATCTTTTTAGCTGTAGATTATACGTGAGGCTAAAGCAATCCAAATTTATGAAGAAAAATATATTTTTGCAAATATTTCACGTAACTTAAAAATCGATTTTTTTTAAATATTTTTATAAAGAAAAAAATTTATCCAACATGAAATAGTTAGCACGTACCCTGAGCAAAAACTGCATTGTTGCAATTATGTTTAATAAGGTGGAAGAGAGAAATTAAGTAACAGAATTTAAATATTTTACTGCAATATACTTTTAAACTTACCTTACGGTATATGCCCACAGAACCTTAACACTATAAAAACTGAACATAGCTATATACCTAGAAAGACTGAAGGGGCCAGCTTGGAGAACATTCGATGAGGACTTTTTGATGGAACTAACCCACATTTACATTATATGGAGAGGAAAGACACGAAAATCTCCTACGGTTTGTCTGATGGCAAAGGGACTCAAACCCATTATTCCTTCTACCGCTGTTGATATTTTTACGTCAGCACTATGGTCTTTGTGAGCCGGATGCAAAATTCTTATCGACCAGCCATTGCAGGGATTCGAACCAGGGCAGCCTAGTAACGTTATATGTCTAGATATAAGTTTCCAAGAGTTATATGTATATTAAGTTATGCGTATATAAAATCAGCAAGAAGTTCTTCAAATTTACTAGTCGGAGACTTTTGCACGGCACTGAATGTGCTAGGGCTTCTTAAAGGCCCATTAACGAAAAAGATAATAGACTAGAAAAATTAATTTAATCTGATTTTATTCACATTTTCGTTTAATCTCTGACATTTTCTACCAATAAAGTATCAAAACTATTAGCATCGACATTAGTTGAGCCACGATAATTACGATAGTTATTACAATTTTTTAAAGTTCTTAAATAAATTGATTTTGCTGGTAAAATCATTTAAAAAAAGTCTTTGAGCTTTCCGTTTACAAACAAGTTTTAATTATAAAGGATGAAGTTACAAATATTAACATTAAAATAAGTCTAGATAAGTCTAGTCTGCAACAACTTTGGGATTTTATAGCGAAAAATGTGTCATTGTTTACCTTTTGACTCAGAATTTTTATTAAACGTATTTTTCATGATTTTTTCATTATTTGGCAGTAATCTAGGTCAAAATAATTGAAAAATGTTATATTATAAATGTTAAATAGCATTTTAATAATTTATGGTTATGAAATACAACATGAAACACTGGTGTCTTTTTCTGCTTTAAAAGTAAAATCCTCAAAATATGGCTCAATTTTAAACAATAATTTTTCTAATTTGCTCTTTTTTGCCGTTATTTGATCTAAGCGAAACAGTTATTCATCATTGGAAGTTCTTTAATTTGCTAAATTAATTGTTGACAAATTTTTGAATATGAGCAAAAAAAATAAAAGTTTTTTTTCGTACTTATTTTTTTGGACTTTATATTTTAATACAAATATAATTCCGATAATTTAGCAGTTTTTTTAATAGCAATTGGATCGGTTTTAATAATTAAAAAACAACAAAATATATTTTTGCTTGTACTTAGAAAAGAAAAAATACACAAAAGGGACACTGCATAAACAGTTTTTTCTTTTTAAAAAATTATGTTTCTCCTTCCGTGTTCGTTTTTTTTTTAAATATTATTCTAATATCTTTCAGAATATTACTTTTACATCTTATAACATCTTTTTATGGGTTCGATGAAGAAAAAATAATTTACCTACATAAACAAAAACCACCCTAGTAAAAGTTTTTTTCAAAATTCATAGCAGGTTAAAAGTGAAACTTAACTTAAAAATAAACTTTGAATTAAACTTTGAAAATTAGACTTTGAAACTTTTGAAAAACAAATTCCAATACTATGATTACATTTATATTTAATTTCTAAGTATTAATCAGATTGTCAATACTATTAGATTCTATTAACTATATCATCTGTATGGCATTAATTATAATTATAATATTTAGACTTGTGCAAGGAAATGTGGTTTCAATTCTATTCATTTAGTTTTTTTTTTTTTTTTCAGTCATCACACTTATTAACAACCACTTTCTAACCTCATTACGAAGAAAAAATATGTAAAAAAAGAATAGAAGAAGCAAAATGATGTGAATTAGCATTTGTCTCTCATTTGTTGGGAATTACCGTAGTTTTCCCAGTTTAAAGAAACAATTTTTAGGGTTACAACTCCTACAATCATTTTCTCTCAAAAGAAAGAACTATTCCTTAAAAACTTGTTTATTGATAAATACCTGTATATCATTTTTTTTTCTTCTTTTATGTACCTTTAAGTTAGTCACAGTCGTTGTTTTTGCACATCCAATTTCTTTTTCTTTTATTTATCCAGATCTATCATACTTTTTGGAACTTTATTTACAAAATAATTTTAATAGTTGTTGAAAGCAAATTAACAAATTAAACATGCATTATTTTCAGTTTTTCTTTTCCTCATATGTCTAAATTAAATCTTTAATAAAAAAAAATTTCTCTTAACATAGTCAGAAAAATTTAAACTATTTATAAGGTATTTAAATAATTTTTATTATCGTAGTGATATGTTCATAATATAAAACTAACAAATAGAAAATTATACAGAACTTTCAAAATTAAAAAATTTAACAAATACATAGTTTATGAAAAAATTTAGAAATGCGAAGAAAAAAATCTTGCTTTAAAATCAATAGTGGAAAAAAAATGTCTGCAATTTTAATCCATGGATTTTAAACATAAACCTTTTTCTTTTTTTAATCATTTAAAAAACCATTCCTGAGTTAATTAGTTGAATAACTTTTATATGCAATATATTTTTTGTTTTAAAAATGCACTGCGAAACATAAATGAAAAGTAGTAGCAAAGAAATTGATCAGCTATATTTATATTAAATAATTGTTTTTTTCTTTCTTGCACATACATCTACATATTTTATATTTTAGTTAAAAGTTTAATAAGTCAATTTTGCATCAATCTATGTAAGCAAATGAAAAAATAAAACTATTAGACTATTTGTAATTATAAATTCGCTTTTTTTAAATTAATATTTCTAACAGTCGCTTCGAAATAAAAGAATGGAATAGATTTTAGATAATACCGCCAAATCGGGCGATTTATTGCCAAGAAAAATAAATAACCAGCTTGATCTAGTAACTTCAAAGAGGGAAAAAAAATGATAATTATTGTCAAAGGGTAAAATGAGCTGAATGGGGGTGTTGCAAACTTGCGGTAGAGGGCAGTCAAAAGATCACCTTTTCTAAACCGAATAAACAAACCAATCGCGAGCCTGCTTTACGACTTTCCCCCCTCAGGGCTTCATAGTGCATTTGAGAGGGGTGCTTTATTGAAAGGTCTTTTTTATTGGTAGAATGCCGGAATTGACTTCATTTTCTCTTCTTCGTACTCCCCTTAATATTCCTCCTCATATATTGATATTCGATTTTTATCGCTTGACGTGGATTGGAACTGTTTTGAGAAAATGTGCTCTTTTTACTTTAAAATTTATTAGTGTTGAGGCACTTTAATTTTACCTAAAAATAAAAGTTAATCAAACGGAATATATTAATACTTCTCGCATGGATTGAACAGTATTTATAATATTTTATTACACATCACCTGAAATATGGAATCATCCACGTATTGCCAGAATGATATTAGAAATTATGCAGCCCTTTTTTCATCAACTGAATTTACTGACTTTTATTCCAGTTTTGAAAACTCTTTAAACATGTTTCAAGAATCTGACAGGACATTTGAAATCAACTCTCAAACTCAAGCAATGGAGAAAAAGAAATACGATTTTACAAATTACGAAATTTCAAACAATAGCAATGACTTTGAACTTAATAACTATCCGCAATACTTACCGCCTCTTACGAATCAGAACTTTTTAAAAGAAATAAACGCGGTTTCCCAGCGATGCTTACCATCAAACACAGAAACTGTCTTTACGAACTTGGACGATTTTAACTTCGAAAAAGCCTCTCATCCCTCAATGAAAGAAAATCAATGGTCAAGAACAGTGGGCAGTCCGGATTGTCATCGAAAACGTGGACCACCTCCTCCTTATCGACCTCTTCATAAAGAACCGCCACCACCTTACGCAATCACTCAATCTTGGATCGATAGTTGCAATAATTTTAAAAACTCTATTAGTGATCAAGACATGGAAATAATTAGTGATGACTGGGCTACGGAGGTGCAAAATTCTGACTTCTTTTCATCGGAAAATGATTCCGATTTCCACGGAAGCCGCAGCGAGACGCCCTCACCCTATCTAACCGCAAAATGGAAAGATTCTAAAGCGGGTTTTTTATCGTCGACCGTCGCCTATGATCCTACTTCGAAGTTGTCTTGGAAAACCCCACACTCATTTGTGGATGAGGCAAGCTCCGATTCCGTTCGAGAACTCTCCCCGCCGTCCAAAAAATATTGCTATAGCTCTGAAGATGAGGGATGGAACTATAAAAATAGCCAAATTGTACAGCTTCCTAAAGGTAAGATAATTTTAAAATATTTCATATTTTATGAGATTCGATATTTAGTTGTCCATAACATTTAGCTATATTTTTCGTTATCATAATATAAATACAGCCAAATGTCTACAACATTTAGCTATGTTTTTTGACATTTAACTATAGCTCTGAAAATGAGGGATGGAGCTATAAGAGTAGCCAAATTCACAGCTGTCAACTTTACTGGATTTTCCAGAAGACTACTGGATTTTCCCTGTTTCTCTTGGCTACTGGTTTTTGTACATTTTAGAAAATTTTCTAAAATTTTTTCAAAAAAATCCCTATTGAATTAAAATTTTTGCAGAGATTATTGCTTACTTGAATATTTAAGTAAGTATTGCTAATACATAATAAAGCGAACTTCCTTCATAGGAATCACCTTTTTTGTTCTAAAATGTTCATTTAATTTCTACTCAGAACTCCTTTTTTAAATTAATAAATCAATTAATAAGTCAATTGATAAGTTAATTGCCTTTGAATTGATAAATTAAATGCCTATTATTATTCAAAATTATAAGTAGACATAATACATAACATTTCTAGTTTATTAAATGTCAATTACAACTAGAAAATAATGCAGTTTTTCTATTTTGATGACTAACAAAATTCCTGAAATTCCATATGTGTGAAATATTTAGTACATTATACCGCAATTATCAGGAAATTTATATTATTTTGTAAAATCTCCGGAATTTTTTCCAACCCATAGCTATACAAATTGTACAGCTTAATCGAGGTAAGAAATTTTTAAAATATATAATATCTTATGAGATTATTCGACAATTAGTTGTCTGTAAGCTTAAGAAACTTATTGTCAGGTAATGTTTTGATTGATACACATTTTATTGATGAGTGCCATATTTTTCGTTTCATTATTTTATTTTTCAAATTGTCTGTTAACATCAAAAACTATCAATAACTGCATATAATTATCGTCATCAATGCAAAGATTGTTAATATGTAATATTCTACATAATAGCATATAATGATGCTTCGTCAAAATGAGGAAGTTTAGTTTTATTGCTGCTAACTTGTATTATAATAACTGATTGATTGGAAATTAAAGAATCTAAATAAACTAATTTTTTCCAAACTTTATTTTACAAATTGATTCTTATAATTTTGTATAATTGCATCCGATAACTGGTAGGGCTTCGATAAAAATAATGAAATTGACTTATATTATTAACGTTTTTGTGGCCCGGTACTGATTTATGAGATTTAAGGAATAGGAAAATTCAATAGATTACGCTTTTAAGAAATGTTTATGTAAAGGCGTTAAGATACGTTTTTAATTACTGTTGTGTTAAAATTTTAAGTAAATATACATAACAGTGCCTTGTTAAAATTATGCCGTTTATTATTTTTCATGTCATAGTTTGTTGCTGTAACTAATTAAGAGGGATTAAAGAATGGAATTAATACCAAGAAAAAAAGTTTTAAACACTTTATTTTACATATTGATATTTTTAATTCAGAATAATTTCCTACAATAGCAAATAGAGTTTTCAGCATACTGTGATTAACTTTTATTATTGTCATTTATGTGGCACTGTCCTACTGATTCATGGGATTAAAAAAATTCTTTTTGAATAATTACACAGAATAGATAGTAGTAATTCGTTAAAATAATCAAGTTTATTTTTTGGTGCCATATTATATTGCCAAAATTGACTGAAAAAATAAGTTTTTAATTACTTTATTTAACATATATTCATCAGTTTTAATATTTAAAACTGCGCATAATTGCATGCATTAGATAATAGTAATTGATTTTAATAATACAATTTACTTTTATTCGTGCTACTTTTGCCGGTACTGAAACTGATAGATACGTTGTAAAGAATCTGTAAAATCAATGAAATTAGCTTTTAAATATTTTAATTAATAGTTAAAAATAATGCAACTGTGTTGAAAACCAACATTTATGGTGACACATGAATGTGTTGCTCAAATTGATGGATGAAGGTTAAAAAAAAAATTAAATATTTTATTTTATGATACAGTATCTAATAATGTCTCTTTAACATAATGAGAAAAAAATACAAACAATATGGTCAAAAAATAAAAATATATTATAATAAATATCAAAATGAAAAAGTATGGTCAAAACAAACTGAATATGGTAAAATTTACCGTGTTTCTGACTCGATGGAAACACCAAAAAGGACGGTGAGTTTTACTAAAGTACTTTAGTATTGATTTTGAAAAAATTAACTACATAAAATATGGTTTTATAATATGTGAAAAAAATTTGGTAATTTTACCATGGAACCGTAGCGCGGCGGCTCCCAATTTTTTTTTTTCTCGCCTGCGGAATTTTAAATAATTAACTATCTTTTGGCGGAAACCAGAGACTCTACGAATAAATATTATTAGCAACTCTAAACATATTAATTAAAGGCTATTAATTATCTTAAAAATATTTAATGTTCCAAACTTTATTAATTATTTTGAAAATACTTAGAGATGAATGAAGAGCGAAAATAAATTAATGGAATTTAACCATTAAACCAAGGGAAGTATGAATAGCTATTTTTATGTAATTTTAACTAACTCCAGCATAACAATATTGTTTTATAGGTTCTTATAAAAAGTTTATAACAGTTAAATTATTTCAGTTCATTTTAAAATTTGCTCTAATATCTACTAACTCAATCTCTTATTGTTTTGGAAGGAAACGATAATCTTATTTTAAATTCCTAAATATAATTTCAGCGTATAAAATTAAACGTATTTTGGGCATCTAAAAATTTCTATGAACGGCATCAAATTATAAAAAATGAATTTGAAACCTCGAACATTTTATAAAATCACCGGAAAAGTTTTTTTTTATTCCAATATTTTTAAAATGTTACAGTACCTACAATTAAAACAAAGAATTAATTTTAAACATAGTTTGAATTTGTCATTTAACTTCCTGGAGTTGTTATTAAAACTTGTTTTACTTAATGTTGCGAAATTTAGATAACTTGCATACATTATATATATTGTATTGTACATGTACTAGACATATATGGTACATATGGATACATAGGATGTATGTACATGCGTACATATATTGTACATATCGGTATACATACATTTAACATACATGTATTGTACATATGTTCATACATTCAATGAACATACAATATTGTATACAATTGCATGGGACATATATTGTACATATATGCATGGGACATACACGGTACAAACAATGTTCGTATGTTCGTACAAACAAGAAGCAAGTACATTGCATATACATAAGTACACATACACACGTACCGACGTAATCACGATTATGTGTAATCGAAGATTTCGGTCATTTCTAACCACGATTTCCTGCTATCGCTTCTTGTTATGATTACAATAATCGCAGAATTAAAATTGTTGTAACTTTTGTAACTATTTCTTCTGAAACACGATTACATGCAACTTATTACTATGCATTTTTTACATTTTTTATTTGTATTTAATCACAATTGTAGACAATTAAAGTTTTAAGCGTCCTTTTCTGTTGATCAATGAAGTTATTCATTTATTTTTGACTAAAGAATAATGATTGAAAATAATGACTAATATATTCTTTATTAAAGATATTTCTGACTAATGAATAAATCTTTATTCATAATTCAGGAAAATTTTGACTAATTATTCATTATTTTGAATGACGAATGCCCATCTCTATAGCTAATACTTTTTTTCTAGAATAATGCCATTTTGTTGACAAAGCAACTTTTATTGAATCTTCAATTTAGAATTTGTATCACTAAAAAATTGTTTACTTCTTAATTCAAAACTATATGTAAAGCAATTTGAATGCTTTGTAAGTAAACACTTTTTTTTTCTTTGAAAGAAATACTTTTAAAGACTTTTCTGGTCTTTCAAACTTAGATATTTTTATTTCAAAAGTTATCGAAATTCCTATTGTATTTATTAAATTTTTTTTATATAATTCTGGAATTTAGTTGTATTTAAATAAAATTGTATAGATATTTAAAAATATTTTTGTTTAGTTTTCCCTTTTAATTAGTTTTCCCTTTTTAGTTTATTGCTTAATCTCCCCTTTTATTATCCATTTATTATTTTACAATAACACTATTGATGTGGGATTGATAATAATTATGAATAAAAGCATTATTTTATTACTATTAACTTTTTTTTAGCTTATGAAAAATTACCTTAATCATTTAAAGTTAGTACGGCTTTGAATCGACACTTAATGTGAAAAAGTAATGGGTAGTTTCTATAATAAATTCTTTCTTTGGTTTGACGGGATTTAGATACTAATAATAAGTTAATGCTTCTTCTCTGTAAGTATCCCCTTTTACAATGTAATTTTTGCACTAGTTTGCCCCCCCCCCCCCAAAAAAAAATATTTAATATTTAATCTCGATCAAAAAAAACATCAATTCTTTTTAAAACGCTTTTTTTTTTAACTATTAGACAATTATTTACAACTATTGAAAATAAAATGCGTGAAATATGATAAAAATTAACTCAATATTTAAATTCAAATTCACGAAGCTACTTAGTTTGCAAATTCACATTATACGGAGCATTTTCAATGTCTAAAAACCTCAGAGTCTTGATTCACTTATTAAACTTTTTCTGATAAAATTGGCTTTTTTTTTAATGTAAAAAAAAGTCAAGTTACTACTGTAACATAATTTTTAAAACATTTAAATGTTAGTCTCACTTAGATTGAAAATTATATATTTATATATAATTTAAAATTAAGAAAATAATTACGTATTTGAACATACAGTAATAAAATGTAAATAATATTATAAATTTATATATTAGATATATGTAAAATAAATTAATAGTAATATTAAAATTTCAGTTGCTTCTAATTGAGTGATTTTATACATTTATTTTGAGTAATTTTATATATATATTATTTAACATTTCGTTAATTTCTATCGTTAATATTACAACACTTTTTTTTTTCAACTTATAAACTCTCAATAATTAATTGCCCATATAATATTCCTCTT